TTGTTGAATCAATTTTCTTTCTTCTTACTTTTTAAAGTCAAAAACTGTTCGATGCTCAATGTTTTACATTGTATAGTTTGTCAAATAAGCTGAGAAATAAAAAAAGTCTTGTACCTACACTACTGGACAATGAAATATCATATTTGAAAAAACGATCGTCACTTTCGCGCGTCTATAACTCCCTTGTCTTTACCGTATTTCTAAATATTAATATTACCATTGTGTAGCCCTCGAAAAGAGCTTTCAGAAATGGTACAACACTAATAGTTTAAACGCAAAGACAATGGAGTTATAGACGCGCGAAAGTGACGATCGTTTTTTCAAATATGATATTTCATTGTCCAGTACTGTACTTAAGCCTACAATGAGATTCCTGGCTATTAACTGAATACTTTAATAAATTCAAATCAAATTTTGAGCAAAAGAAGATCTAAAGGTTTAGGAAGAAGTAAGAGAAGTGGCATTGGATTTTGAAAATTTTATTTCTAAAAGTCGTCAAGTTTTGGCTTTTGCTGTGATCTCTAGTAATTTAGCGGTTGTTTGGCAAAATTCACTTCAGATTAATGAAGTAGAAGCACACACTTTTGAGTCTCCTCCAAGCAGTGGGGTCACGCAAAAACTCCTTCCAAAGGGGAAAAGAATGGGAAATAGAGGAAGTGAGCTTCTTTCTTTGCTTTTTCTTTTTGAAAAACAGCGTGGATCTCATCAAGAAACGGAAACTCGGCCCTAGCATCTTTGCTCGAAAAGACTTTGAACTATCAGATTTTTCAGAACGTTGCTGAAGTTCTTGAAAGCTCAGCTTCCATTAAAAGACGAATTCTTTTAAAAAAATCTACTCCATCTTGTTATTTTTTTTTTCTTTTCATTTCTATTCTGTCACTCGAGCATGAATAATGGGAAAAGATAGCGAAAAAGTGGAAAAGAGAAACGGATATTGTTCTTCTAGATTTCGTGTGCTTTTGACATCCATCTCAATTCGGATATTCTTTTTTTTTTAGATGGATTTCATATTCTCGTGCATGAATTTTCTTTTTAAAAATGAGATTTCAGTCGATGATTGAGAGATGTTCCAAGCACGAGCTCCGAGAAGTTTTAGAATCCGAGAAGGGCTCGCCTGGAGAGACTCGATGTTTGACGTTTGTTTTTGGAAAAGATTAAAAACGTTTCCAACTTCCGAATCGTAATTAGTTCAGTTCAGTTCAAAGCTCAAAACACTATTGTAAACTCATTTCTATGTTAAGCTTTTAAAAACAGTTACTCTTCAACAAATGACTGTTTTAAAAAAGTTATTTGATAGCATTAACTGCATTTTTGCAGGCTTTTGCATTAACTTTGAAAATTATCATTTGAAAATTTGTATTTTAAAGCTCTCCTTTGTCCATTCTTTTCAAAATATCCATTGATTATATCATTTTCTGAAATTTTATATGATAAAATGTAGATTTCTTTAAAATCTGATCATTCCCATGTCTTCCTTACTTCAATTAACCTTAGTTAAATGCTTTGTTCTCTGCAAAACTCAACTGGTAAAGTAAAATTATGATACAGACACACAAACCGACAGACAATTTTTCAAAATTATAATATAGTAGATGAAAGAACAGTAGATGTAATGAGAGAGTAGATTAGCAAGATGTAGCAAGATTATTCATGATTTTCTAGATAAATTGACATTGCTCAAGCCTTGAAATGAAATTGATTACTTGAAATGAAATGAATTAATTAATTAATAACAGCTTTACAGTGCGGAGCAAAACCATACGCCACCCCCTAAATTTCAATTTTCTGCGGCTTCCGTGCCAGTGACAAAAAAACTGAAAACGTAGTTAGATTCAGGACCACAACATCAACTCACCCTACAGCAAGACAACGCCAGCATCCACGTCAGCCGAGCAACCAAGTCATTGCTTCAGTCAAAACAAGTGCCTCTTCTGGATTGGCCTGCGTGCTCCCCCGATCTCAACCCCATTGAGAATCTGTGGGGAATGCTTGCTCGTCGAGTTTATCACAATTCCACACAATACGCAAATGTTCAAGCACTCAAAGATGCCATTATCCGCGAGTGGAATGCTATTCCAAGAAGCACCATCAAGAAGCTAGTTGGCAGCATGCCGAGTCGAATATTTGACGTGATCAGTCGCCAGGGACAAGCAACAAAATATTAGACTGTTATTGTTATAAATAAACCTTGTTATCATAAAAATTGAACAAAATGCAACAACGACACCAAAATTTGGGGGGTGGCGTATGGTTTTGCACCGGGTGAATTTTCGTTTTTTGGCTGTTACATTTTCCCCATTCATGCTATGTCGACGATTTTTGGGGTTTAAGGGTTATTTTTGGTCCTGAATCTAACTACGTTTTCAGTTTTTTTTGTCACTGGCACGGAAGCCGGAGAAAATTGAAATTTAGGGGGTGGCGTATGGTTTTGCTTCGCACTGTATAACAGGATTTGTATGTCTTTTGATACATTAAAATTATAAAATCAACTCAAATTATAAAATACATTATAAAATCAACTTTCAACCAATCCCTAAACTTCAGGATTCTCAAAATGGAAACCCATCCTTTTATGCATTAGAAATGACAAGCTTTTCTTATGTTTTTGCAGACTCAGATTGTACGTCTTTCTGTCTTTTTTTTCTTTCTTTGATTGTTTGTCAGCTTCATTAACACCTGTGAGTGCTTTTTTGAGGGACAATTTCAATGTGTAATATGATTGATTTTATTTCACAAGCTCGCTTTTTATTGGAAAAAGCTAAAGCATGTAAAATGAGTTGATATTTGCAAGTTCTAGTTTAGATTTTACACATTATTCCTTAACTAAAGGATTATTTTGAGATATTTGGACAAAAATGTGTACGTCAAATCGAACTTATCCAGAGAAAACAAGAGAAATCTAGAAAACTAGCCAATCTTGCACTAACCGTTCCTTCATCTTGTGTCTTTGATGTCTTCAAGCTGTCCTCTTCAAGTGATGAGCACAGCTCCAGCTGGGAGAATCCTTGACCAAGGGGAACTAAACAACAAGTATTGGAAGTACCAAATTCCGCAAAAACTCACGCATCTTCTTGACCGGCCTTGGGTCGCTCTGACGGATTTGATAGAAGTCAAAGAGCTAAACTTTCGATTATCAAATTACCTCTTTTAGTTAAAATATCACCTTTATCTTCCATTTGAGAGGACCTTTTGTGATGGATTTAGATCTAAAAGAAATAGTTTAGAAAAGCTTTAGCATAAACGTCAAACCTTTTATCATCTCGCTAAAGCAACGTCGCTATGGACACTTGGCTGCCACAAGCCAGTTATCCCTGTGGTAACTTTTCTGACACCTCTTGTAAGAAACTTTGAGTTGATATTTGCAAGTTCTAGTTTAGATTTTACACATTATTCCTTAGCTAAAGGATTATTTTGAGATATTTGGACAAAAATGTGTACGTTAAATCGAACTTATCCAAGAGTATAAGTTATTCTAACCAAAACAGCACTAGAATCATCAATAGGTGATATTTTTTGTAATCAAACTTAGCTCAGCTTGATGTTAGAGCTTTCAACAAGACATTTACAATTAGATAAGAATTCATTTTGCCAAAGAGTACCGGTTTTTGAGCCTCAAAGCTGTGATTACTCGAGTGTTATGATTTTCGGGTATTTGACCGATTCTCTATGTTTGAGGGGGTGAAGGGAAGACCAAGGAGGGGCAATCGACAAAGAATGGCAACTGACTCCCTTCCATTGCCCTTCCCTCTCATCCTCTTCACTTCAAATACCCCCAGTCACCTTTCAACTCCTCTCATCCTTTTCTTCCACTTTCACATTACACACCTTATTTCGGGATTTTCTCCCCTCACAAAACACCGCTGAAAGCAATTATTTACTTGCTTTTTTGCTTCAAATGTGTCGGCTATGTTTACTGGTTTTTTTACTGAATAACTTGTGGTCACTTTGATGCCACGTTAAATGGATTTCTATTGGGGTTTTTGTTTGGTGTAAGCATGCTTTCATCCTGTTATAGTCTTACAGTTTTTATACAAAATCTCGATACTTTCTTGTCTTGAGGTTTAAGCGTTTTCAAACTCTGATAACTTGAGCCTGATCAGGCTTGAGTTTGACTTAGAATTAGCACCTTATAACTAGAATTTGTCTTATAGTTTGACTCAAAAGATCTTCCCCAGGTAATATGTCGATTCTGGTAGAACAGGAGTTGATGTTCACAAGTATTTCAACCCTGACGCTCTGAATCTGTATTCTGAAGAAGACTGAGGTAACCAGTTCCAGCAAAACTCGACTTTTACTTGCTACAACTAAATTTAATTAGAAAACTGGACTTTTTAACTTGATAAATTGATAAACTTGGCAAATTCAAGTCAATCCAGTGTCGGTGTTGATCATTTTATGTCCCTTTTCCCATCCGATTCATCTCCTCAGCCCATTCACAAGAACAAATGAGCTTCATAGATCAAAATAATTTGCTTCTCCTTTATCGATGAGTTTTGCTCAAGAAGAAAAGTCCAATTTTTTTCAGAGTTTACTTGGTGACATAACTGTCCCATGGGATTTCTCCAAACAAAAAGAAGGTCCTTCACCCTTTTCCCTATCGGGGAATCGGCACTGACCTAGGAAAAGAAAGAAGACAAGAGATTTGGCCTCTTTTTGCTCTTTTTACTCTTTTGAACCTAAAGCCATCAACCAATTCAACTGTTCCTTAACTTGACAAGTAGAAGAGACGAATCTAAGAGAATTTTATTTGGGTTTGCAGATTCTCAGGCTTTATTCGAAGTTCTTTAGCTCTGTAGCTGAACTTTTTCCTTTTTAAAGTTTTGTAAACCAACGACTTTGCCATTTCCAATTTTGTTCACTTACAGATTTATGGAATAAACTTATTTCCAACTCAAGTCCCTAATTTTAACACAACTTCTAAATAACATTTGATCTTTTAAAGCCTACATTAATTTTATTACAATAGACGAATCAACTTTTAATTCCAGTTTGTCACCGATATGTTGGCCGAGGGAGTGCGCTCGTTAATCGGCGCTGCTCGTGATGGCCTTCGCTCACTTCTCCCCATTGTCATCCTCGCTTTCTACACGATTTTAGGAGCTCTTCTCTTCATGACTCTTGAAGCACCGAATGAATTGCACACACTAGAGACATTGAAGAAAGAAAGAGACGATTTAGTTGAGGTGGATAGGAGCTCAAGTTTCAAAAAACAATAATATTTGCATTGAGCTTATCAATTAACCATCTCTTTAGAATACGGCTTTCCGGTTGAACAATATCCGGGCAATGACCCCGATTAATGCTTACAATCACACAGTGACCACTTTGATACGATTTCAGAAGAAACTTGGCGTTGATACGGTGAGTCAAATAATAGTATTAATTTTATCAACAGTAATAAAGAAGTAAAGGAATTGGCAAGAAAAAGGGGAAAAAGATAGAGGGGATTGAAGCCTCGATCTTTTGCTTTGCAATTGCTCTAATCATTGAGCTATTCGGTACCTTAACTTGTCAAGATAAGAGAGGGAAAGACAAAGGGGAAGAAAGGAAATCAATTTTTAGTTTAGAACTTAATTCAGATGAATATTAGTTAACAAAGCTTTTAGGTGATTGCCGAGAATCAACACTGGACCTTTATGGGATCATTGTTCTATTCGATGACTGTCTACACAACAATTGGTAAGTTAGCTTATTGTTTGATTCATGAACAACCAACAAGACTGAATATCTATTTTTCAAATGAATTAATAGAATAGATGTTGAGCCCGGTTTACAACATTTTCCCTATTTTCAATAAAACAAAAATTGTACTAGAAATAGGAAAATTTCAAGCCGAACCTAATTCCAGCTTTCTTTTCTCAGCCGTCTCTTAGCCGATTCATTTGAAATTTTGTTTACGATCAGAAAATTCCAATTTCTATTTGTAAACAAAATTTCAGAACAATCGATGAAGAGAGGCTGAGAAAATGAAGGTGGAATTAGGTTCGGGTTGGACCTATGTGGATTTTGGCCTGCCTGGCCTTGGCCTGGAATCTAGTTTGGCTTTGAGCCTGCGCTAGCCATAGCTTTAGAACAATGCTGCTATATTTCTTATATTAATCAATTTCCAGGTTACGGTAACATTGTACCAGTGACTGCAGCCGGTCGAGTTCTTACAATCATTTATGCTTTCATCGGCATTCCCATTGGCATCATTTGCCTTCTCGGGCTTGGAGCTTTGTTTGCCAAATTTTGCAAGGTAGATAAAGTTTTTTAAAGTCTAAAAATTGATTTAGATTCTCTGGAAAATGGTGATCAAATCGACATCGGTTGTTTCGAAAGATTTAGAGAAAAAGGTTGGCTTTAAATAGACAGAAAAGAAACAGAAAAGGAAATATTTTTTGTCAGCTAGAAGAAAAATGGAGGATACCAACGGTAAAAGCATAAATCTTTCATTTTATTATAGAAATGTTTGTGAGCATGAGTGATTTTTGGTATTCAGCAAGTAGTTTGCCAGCAAAATGGTTTGCTTGCCCGATTCTCAGTCTAAAGCACATTGTTAGAATTCGTTTTTAAAAAGACTAGCTTTATGCAAAATGTTCAAAAAAAAGTTCCCCATTTAAACTCAAATTTCTGAAAAAGTGGCTCAAGGTGGTGAAAGTCTTAACGTGAAAGCTGTTTTTTCGCGTCGGAACTTTTTAACGTTCTTGAAGATTTTCCTGATTAGATGATCCCCGTACATGAAATTTCTAAGCCACCGCCATGAGATTTTTGCCATAAAGTAAAACTTTCTACTGGCATCGTGATGTCATATTAGAGTTAATATAAACTAAGATTTTTAGCACTTTATTGGCCAAACACTTTATTCATCTATATTATGATAACCAGCCGAGTTCTCCGCTGGGGAGACGGGGAACCCATTCAAATGACTAAAACCACCGTAACCCATGTCAAGAACCGCTTTTTAGAGATGGACCTAAAAGTCAGATTCCCCATAGCCGAAAACTCCTGGGAGCCAAATAACGCTCGCAAAAGCTGAATATTTTGTCTTTTAATCGAGGGAGCAAACGTAATTACGGAGCGTCGCGTTTGCGCACAGACAGACGGACAGACAGGCAGACAGACAGACAACATACAACAGACAGCAGACAGACAACGGCAGACAGACAGACATACGGACATACAGACAGACGGGCAGACGGACAGACAGACAGACGGACATACAGACAGACCGACATACAGAGAGACAGACAGACAGACAGACGTCTCTTCTATTTTATATATAGTAGATCTGTCGTACATAAGAGATTTTCAATTCGACCTTTTTTAAAGAAGTGTCCCGTTTTTCTAAGGAAACGCTGATCGATAAAGTGTATGGTTTAAGTTATCCTAATAGTGTTTATTATGCACCACGATGCCAGTAGAAAGTTTTAATTTTATGGCTAAAATCTTATGGTGGTGGCAGCCATAGTGACTCAGAAATTTCATGTACGGGGTCACGTAATCAGGAAAATCTCCAAGAACGTTAAAAAATTGCGACGCCAAAAAAACAGCTTAATTGAGCTTAATAACAGCTTAATAACCACCATCTTGCGCCACTTTAAATTTTTCAGAAATTTTTTAAATGGGGAACTTTTTTTTGAATACCCTGTAGTTTTTCACAAAATTGCACCTTACTTTAATAAAATCGATAAAAGAAAATCTTTTTAGAAGTTAGAAAAAAGATTGTATCTAATTTTCCCAGAATTTCTATTCTTATTTCTTATCCCCGCAGTAAATCAAGCTATTCAGATGGAAGATCTCAGCCCTGATGCTAAAGAAGATTCAGTAATTATTGAGAAAGACGGAAAACCTCAAGAAGATGATGATAATGATAACGATTTGCTATCATTCCCGCTATGGTTTTTAATCCTTTTTGCTGTGTTGTGGGTGCTGTTCAGCGCTGCTGTTTTCAGTCTTGTTGAGCCGGATTTAGACTATGGTGAGTTTGAATTGAAGACTTTCATAAAGCAACAACTCCAGTGCTTATAAAGTTTTATGGAAAATTGTTTAGGTACCTCTCTCTACTTTACCTTGATCTCTTTTCTTACAATCGGCTTTGGTGATGTGCTTCCATCTGAGTACGAGTATTTGTTACTTGTTGGAATCTTTCTTCTAATCGGACTTGCCATTGTCTCAACGGTTCTTCAAATCATTCAGCAACAAATTGAAGCTCTAGCATCGGTAAATTAAAATATTGCAATAGATATATAAAGGCTTAGGGAATGAAAGACAACATCGATGAAGAATATACAAAAGCGTTGGCTGAAGCAAGTGAGGATGGAGAGATTCCACAGAAGCCAGTTGAGAGAACACCGATTGAGGGTGAAGAAGTGGATGGAGATGTAGAGAAGCAACCACGTGAGTTGAGCGCGCGATTAAAGTTGATCAATTGATCAGTACAATTGATCAATGATTATCAGTACAATTGATCAATTGTATTGATAATCTTTTAATCTTTAGCATCACCTGATCCTCGATCCTTGGATGTGGTGCTCTCAAAAATGCCACTTCGATCTCGAATCCTTTACAACATTATGCCCGAAAAAGAAAAGAAGCGATTAGCTGTAAGTACTTAAAAATCTTTCATATCTAAGTCAGTTCTCAAAATGGATTCATTTTAGAAGCACAGCGAGAACCGGATGAAGTACATGAATCGGGCTTGTCAAACTGATGAGGAGTTGTTGAGAGTAAGTGCATTATAGAATCAAGATTATGGATATTTAGAAATATGCTCTTGAAAAGTTCAAAGACGATTTCAAATCGGTGAATTATGTGGTTGTACAAGATTTCTCGGGTCAAGAAACCCCGTCAACTACCGTTTTTCACGGTGATGTCACGGCGCCTCCGCCAAAGGTTAGAAAGAAAACTGAAATAACAACTTCGAGAGTTTCTTGTACTTTTTAAAACCTAACCTTGGCTACAATATTCTTGAAAACTAACATATTTTAGAACATAATTTACTGTAGAACTTACCGTAGAACATAGATTTCAGAAAATAGACAAGCAATCTATTAAACTTAAGCTCTGGCTTTGGAAAGACTCACTCAAGAACGTAAAAATCTTTCTCAATAGCAATTAGCTTGAATTATGAATTATGTGGTTGTACAAGATTTCTCGGGTCAAGAAACCCCGTCAACTCCGCCAAAGGTTAGAAAGAAAACTGAAATAACAATTTCGAGAGTTTCTTGTACTTTTTAAAACCTAACCTTAGCTACTTTCAAACCCCAATCCTTAATCATCGTATTTCATTAGATTAAAGCTGTGTAAAGGCTTTTATGAAAAGAAGCAGTCATATAAACACTAAAAGCTTCCATTTCTGTGTATTGTTTTAGGAAATGAAGACAATTCTTGTGAAAATGTTACACTTTACTCTAATAATCTGACAAAATAGGTTAATCTTTAGCACACCCAACAACCCGCTCGACGAATGGACATCCACTTGCATCCACACAAAACCGATGACCAACCGACCTCATCGGGATCAAGAGGAACAAGTCAGGTGAGTTAAGAAATCTAGGAAGATCTAGTAAAATCTACTAGAAATCTAGTAAATCTAGTAAAACGTTTGTATTTCAGTCACATAGTGAACCAGAGACGGTAGTTGAAGTTCCAATCGAACATGTCACAGTACAAATGGGTCCACAAAGAGCCGAGAGGGTCTATGCGAAGACATCGGGAAGTGAAGAGGAGGTAACTTAAGCTTTGACATTATCTTAAGTACGTCTAGTAGTCTAGCTTTCAGTTTTATGGATTAATTTGTGAAACACTAGCAGTTTTCAGTAGGAATAAGGCTTTCAAATTGATATCCAATGCTTAAAACAGTTTATGATAACTTGACAGATTTCTTCAAGTGTCTCATTTCTAACAAATACTTGATTTCAGTACTTTAGACTTTAAAAAGCAATGATAGCAAGTTTTTGAGTACTTAAAGTAAGTAAGTAAGTGGTTAAAGTAAGTAAGTAAGTAAGTAGTTAAGGTAAGTAAGTAGTTAAGGTAAGTAAGTAGTTAAAGTAAGTAAGTAGTTAAAGTAATTTAGTAAAGTTAACTATTCAAATTCTTAAGTAGTTGGTTTTAATTTTCTGTTTGCATAGAGTTTTATCTAGAAATCTGATGAGTTGAACTCAAATTTTAAATCTCAAGTGAAATTTCGCGTTACTAGATCGTAGAATAGTTTTTATAGCTGTTGTTTTATCATTTCTTTTATTGACTTTCTTGACTAAATATTTTCATTTCTCTAGGAAGAAGAGGAGAGCATCGAATACACTCCAAAAAGGACAACCACTCTTATTTTGTCTGGCCGAAACGAGCCGAAAAACACCGATGTTTAGTCGAAAAGTTAGGCGATATTCAAATTTGATTTTAAAATCTAAATCCCAATTCTTTTCTTGGTGCAAAAGTGTTTGTAACTAAAAAAAAACTTGCCGGCTCAATCCCAGGTTTTTTACAATTGTTCTTGTTATTTTCCATTTCTGTCATTCGTTTTTTTTCTTTCCAAACTTTCCAAACAAATTGCTCAATTCTCTGTTTTCTCATTTTTTCTTTGAGTATAAACTTTATCCACCTGAATCACGAGTACAGATCAAATTCATTTGCAAAAACCCGGCGAGTTAAGTTAAATGGGAACATAAGAAATCAAAAATCGATGGGAAACCCGTGGAGAATCAGATTTTGAAAAAGAAATGGTTCTATATTAGATAACAAAGAGAAATAGGTGACTAATCAGATCGATGAAGGAAACCAGCACAGCTGGGAAATGTCGGAATGTCAAGGGAAATGGTACTTGGGATTTCGATTGAGATTTTCGGCGAATTTTGGCAAATCACAGCTATCCTCTGATAGAAAAATTTCGAATCTTTCTTCTTGAGATTTGGTTTTAAAAGCTTAACTGACTGGAATCTCAATATTCTTGAAAACTAACTGATTTTAGAACATAGATTTACTTTAGAACTTACTTTAGAACATAGATTTCAGAAAATGGACAAGCAATCTATTAAACCTAAGCTCTGGCTTTGAAAAGACTGACTCAAGAACGTAAAAATCTTTCTCAATAGCAAAGCTTAACTTAATTGACTGGAATAACAATATTCTTGAAAACTAACTTATTTTAGAACATAGATTTACTTTAGAACTTACTTTAGAGCATAGACTTACTGTAGAACTTACTTTAGAGCATAGATTTCAGAAAATAGACAAGGAATCTATTAAACTTAAGCTCTGGCATTGAAAAGACTCACTCAAGAACTTAAAAATCTTTCTCAATAGCAATTAGCTTGAAAACTTTGGCTTACATCAGTGCATAATTTTCTGATCTTACCTAGATAGCCTTGCCAAAACAATTTTCAAACTTTCATACCTTTAATCTTGCTATTGTTCAAGATTTACGCAAAAATTTCAAGCCTTAAATCAACTAAACTGCTAAATCTAAACATTAACAAGGTGTTCTGTTGGTTTAAAAGCCGCCTTCATCTCAATTATTCCAAGAATATCAAAGAATCAAGAATCCAAGAATATTCCCTTCACGATTCCCTTAAAATAAACACAGGCAATCGATAGATCGATTTAATACAATGAATCACAATTTAAAAATATTCTTGGGAAGCTTTATGACTAGACTTTCCAATTCAAATTGGGCACTGCTTGAGAGCGGCGATTCGTGGATGTGTTTTCTTCAAATCAACACAACTAAAATATTCATTTTTTATGATTTATCTTATTTCTAAAGTCTGATCCTTGCTTTTTAAAATCTTATTTCATTCTTAGAACTTGTTTTTACATTTAAATTTTCTTTAGAACAATGTTGAGAATTCTATTAGGTTGATGCATCTTTTGCATGTCTTTTTGTTCCTTTTCGTCTGCCGTTTCAAGCCAACAAATGCACGAATTAAACTACGGTTGATTTCATTAGAAAAACCAATTATTTTTCTGCAAAATAACATTAAAACGGGTTTAAAAATATTTAATGCCTGGATTTTCTTGAGAGTATGAAGTCGGGTAGTCAAAAAGGGCTAACTCGATGATGCGGTTTAGACACCTTAGCTAAAGAAAACCTATCTTCGTGTCAATAGATAAAAGATAGAGCAAAAAAAGTTTGATTTTTCGCCAAAATTTCAGAGAAATTCATTCAGCCAATTTTTCCGTAGAGTTTTTTATAGATTTTTACGAAAACTCTCGCTTTCACTCTCGAATTTGCTTGAAAGCGAACCGAAATTGATTTAAAAAGATGGAAATTAAACAAAAAAACACTTTTTTTATAGCGCAAACTATAGATTAATTGGTGAATTTGTTACTTTTTAACAGAAGTACGAAAAAAACGAAAAGACTTATGCATCAACCTAATATTTAGTCTACTTTTGTTATTTATTATGATCAAGACTCGATATTGCCCGATAAGACTTAAAGTGGATAGGTAAATCTCATGAATTTTCAAAGCTTTAGCCTACATTATTAAAATTCTAGAGTTTTTATATAAAATGTAAATTTCACTGTTTCTAAAGATCAACTCGAGATTTGCCTTTCGATCGACGGGGATTTCAAGGAAACGAATAACTATTTGACGATGGGTTTATAAATGTTTTGACCTGCATATTATAAAATTTACACCAATAACTTGAACAGTGAAAAAACCAACATTTGCGTAAAACCGCCGCCGACTCGTGGCTGAAAGATCGATTCCTCTAGGAGAGCCGGCGTGAGATCCGAGATTTTTACCCGTTGTCGTTTCAATACCTAGAAATTGTTGTGTTTAAAAGGATCAGATTCATCAATCAGTTAGCTGTCTGTCTATTCAACTACTGGTCTTACCAGTTCCCAGTACTGGAGACTGGTAAGACCAAGGCTAAAACCAAGGCTAAGACCAAGGCTAAGACCAAGGCTAAGACCAAGTCAAGCTAAGTAAGAGCTAAGTCTATCTCCTTAAAACTTAAATCACCTGTATATTTGATAAATCCTGGCAAATACTTTCACAAATCTCGTCAAGAGAAGAACGTCTGGAAAAGAATGGGTAAACTTGAGATAAAGCTTCATTTATTGTGGATTTTCTCAAAACTCACACTCTTTTATAAGCATTTCTCTTCTGAGAATCTTGCAGCTGAACAATTTCATGCTGTTCGTGGATTTTTGAGAGATTCGCTGGGACGGAAATAGATGAGCGAGTGAGACCGGTTGATTGAGATTGAGTATCGAGAGAAGTATCACACGACTTTTCGAAGGAACTTTCCTGGAACATTTTGAATAAAGTAGAAAAATAGGATTTGGGTCTCAATTCTGTCTTGAAGATTGATCTAGCTCTTGAACATTTTTTGGTGATCACTAACTTCATCTTCCATTTCCTCATCTTCCTTCTCGTAGACCGAACCGGGCTCTGCTGTAGCATATGAATCGCTAAATGGACTTTTGAAAACAGGTATTGACTTACTAGTGCCGATATCATTAAGTATTGTTAATCTAGCGTTAATGATAAGGATAATTTAGATATTGAATATTAAGATTAATAAAGATAATCTAGATATTAAAAATAAGTATAATCTAAAGACTGGGTGGCTAGGTGCTTAACTTGGTTAGACTTTGCTTAACGATCTTTCTTGCCAACCACAGAGCACTAGATTATTAACTGATTTTCTCTAGATTAGACTATCTCTAGATCTCTAGATCTCTAGATTAAATCCCTTCACTTATCTTGCTTTTACCTTGAAAAGCATCTCGATGCCACAAAGAGTGTCTCCTGGTCGACGGCTTTTGGTGGGCACATCATAATCATTGACAGATAGGACCAGGTTCTGAAATGGTCATTGAATGGTTTGAAAGGTAAAAGTTTCGAAAGTAAAGAAGAGTAAATCGATTGTGTTTTCCAAAAATAGTGATTCTAGAATGAAAAAAAGAAACGTGTATAAACAAGGAAAAGGCTGGGAAATGAAGGGAATTGTGTTTTCATAAAAACAACAACAATTACGAAATATGGAGAAAGATGGAAACGATGAGAGAAAGAGGAAATTTCAGGGCAAAGGAAAATGGAGATATGAGATGAGAGTCAAAGAAAATCGCAGAGATTCAAAGATCGAGAAATGTTTTTTTAACAAAGATTTGAAAGAGATGGGCAAAGGAAGTTTTGATAAGGAAAAGATCAAAAAGTCAAAGTTTTGTTTGGAAAAATATTGAGCAACTTTGATAATTGCGAAATGAGAGAAGAAGTTTTGGCAAAGTTTCAAGATCATTTTTGAAGAGAAAATTGATTTTCAATATTATTATTACTTCTAAATAGCTAACAAATAGTGTAAACGATTAAAAATCTCAAGATTTCAAGATTAAAAACTGAAAACGCATCCTTTTTAGTGTACTGAATTTGTTCTTTTAAAATGGGAAGTTTTTAATGTTTTGTAAAGTGCTCAATGTACACTAGAAAGAATGTGTTTCCAGTTTTAAACTAGTATTGAATTTTGAATAGTCTTCATTATTAAAGTATATGGTTGGATTGGATTGGATTGGATTGATTGGATTGGAAGAACCAAGTTGGATTGGTTATTCATTATTAAAGTATATGGTTGGATTGGATTGATTGGATTGGATTGATTGGATTGGATTGGATTGATTGGATTGGATTGATTGGATTGGATTGAATTGGATTGATTGGATTGGATTGATTGGATTGGATTGAATTGGATTGATTGGATTGGATTGATTGGATTGGATTGAATTGGATTGATTGGATTGGATTGATTGGATTGGAAGAACCAAGTTGGATTGGTTATTCATTATTAAAGTATTAGGTTGATGCAAAAGTCTTTTTCATTTTTTTCGTACTTCTGTTAAAAAAATAACAAAGTCATCAATTAACCTATGGTTTGCTCTAAATGAAAAGTGTTTATTGTTCAATTTCCCATCTTTTTAAGTCAACTTGGGTTCACTTTCAAGCAAATTCGAGAGTGAAAACGGGTTTTTCATAAAAATCTATAAAAACCTCTATAAAGAAATTGGCTGAATCAATTTCTCTGAAATTTTGGCGAAATATCAAACTTTTTTTTCTCTATCTTTTATTTATTAACATCAAGATTGGTTTCCTTAGCTAAAGCGTCTAAAATGCATCATCGAGCCGTCGCCTTTTTTGACTACCCGACTTCAGGCTCTCAAAAAAATCTAGACATAAGACATTTTAAACTCGTTTTAATGTCATTTTGCAGAAAAATAATTGGCCTTTCGAATGCAATAAACCGTTGTTCAATTGGTGCATTTGTTACTTTTTAACGGAAGTACGAAAAAAATGAAAAAGACTTTTGCATCAACCTAATATATGGTTGGATTGGATTGATTGGATTGGATTGATTGGATTGGATTGGATTGGATTGATTGGATTGGATTGATTGGATTGATTGGATTGATTGGATTGATTGGATTGATTGGATTGATTGGATTGGATTGATTGGATTGGATTGATTGGATTAGAAGAACCAAGTTGGATTGGTTATTCATTATTAAAGTATATGATTGGATTGGCTTTAGTGTTTCGTAAAGTGTTCAATGTACACGAGAAAGAATGTGTTTCCAGTTTTAAACTCAAAGTACATTTTGTTATTCAATCAATCCAAGCAATCAATCACAATCAAAACAAATCCTACTAAAACCTAAACTAAAGCCATAACAGAACTTCAAATTCTTAACTTAAACATAAATCTTGAAAGCCAATGATCGTTATTTTGTGGAGTGACGATGCTGGTCAATGAAAGGAAATAGTCGTTTTGATGGCTTCAGTTTATGTGCAAGACAACCCGTAGTTTAATTTCAACGGGCACGATTGGTTACATTGCTTTGATTGGGATAACTTCGAACCTGCGACCAACGTTGCTTAACTTGGCAGATCGAATGGCATGCTCAACGTGGCAAGAACATAAACAGAAACGTAAGAATTAGTGATTAGAAAGCTGCACAACAATCAATCAAAAATAGAGTCTGATTAGCTCAAGAATGGGATGAAATGTTTGGAAACTCGAAAACAATGTCTGCAAGTTTCAGCTAGAAAAACATCTAAACGAGTGCCAAAAGCGAATCACATGACTCTGCCTGCCGTTTTTTTCTTTTCAATTTCATCTCCTTTCCCAACCTTTTTCCTCTCTTTATCGCTCCTTTCATTGAAAGACCAGACAGATCAAAATTGGAGAAAAGAAGCGTGGAAAAATAGAAAAACGTAGCATTTGAGAGAATAATGAACTTAATCTATAAAACGAAAGACTTTTAATGAGAGATTGAAAAGTTAGAGTTAAAGATCTTTTTGACTTTTGATGACTCATCGGTGTTTTTATTGCTCAAGACTGGATTTGAGAAGGGTTTATCGATCAAAGTAGACACAAAATATGCACAAAAGTCTAAAAAAAGCAGTTGGATTTCGTAAATTGACTGACTTACATAAATAAGCTTTTTTTAAAGCCAAATTGTCACAAATATTCAAAGAAAATTTAGATCTAAATGATCAGTGAGAACTTATATCCATTCCAAGAAAGATCGAGAAGTATTTGAAGAAAAGAACAAACTTTTTTTTGATAAAACGAGGTGAGAATCGAATCATATGATGTGGTTGAGGAGAGAAATTTGGAAAGAAAGGAAAAAAAAGGAGATTCTCTAAAAATTTGGCGAAGAAAAGAAGGGAAACGGGGAAATCGATTAGAAAAAGAGATTTTCTTTGAAAAGATATGAATTTTTGATTCACTGATAGGTAATTTATATCAGAATACTTTAATTTGACAATTATTGAAAGCAAATAGAGTGTGAAAGATCAAACAACATCTGTTTCGCGATGGCGGTAAATTGCCAATGGAAAATGAGAGAGAAGATTTTGCTAAACAATGTTATTTTTGCACTGCAAATCCCAGTAAACAACGTTGTTTTCCGTAAACTTGGAAAGGAGCCAAAAATCTTTATTCTTTCCTAACAATTTTAGCAGGAAACAGAAAGCTGACGTCTGACAGAAAGGTAATAGATCAATAGATAGAAAAAAATATAGAATAGTAGATAGAAAAAATAGATAGATAGATAGATAGAAATTGATTGATTGATTGATAGAATAGCTAGAAATAGATAGAAAAAATAGAGAATAGTAGATAGAAAAAAATATAGAATAGTAGATAGAAAAAATAGATATATAGAAAAAATAGATACCGTATTTCCTCTAATAAACGCCCCCCCCCTTGACCAACTTTGGACGCTTCGTTCTCAGCTCCATTTGGAGATATATTAAACATAAAAATACCTCAAAATGGGGCTGAGAACGAAGCGTCCAAAGTTGGTCAAGGGGCGTTATTGAGAATACGGTAGGTAGATAGAAATCGATAGATAGATTGATAGAATAGCTAGAAATAGATAGAAAAAAGCTTTACACATTCAATACTTGAAAGCTTTAAATAATTCTTAGCAAATTTGTAAGCAAACCTTTGTTTAGTCTATAAAGATTCTAGATTTTAAAATTGAAATGACATTTTTCATTCTTATTCAGACTAAAAGGAAATCTTCTCCAAACAAGTACAAGTTCAAAAGAAAAACTAATTCAGAGATGACTCTAATCAGCTCAACAAAAAGATTCATATCCCCCTAGTGGCGTGAATGAAAAGAAAAAGAGAAATGTGGTGGGTGAATGAATGTTCGGTGGTCATCTGCGTTGGCGTTTCTCTCTCGATCTCTCACTTCTCTCATCTATTTCCCAGACTATTAGATTCACACGGAGTGAGTAATGTTTTGCGAATCTGTACTGGGAAATGAATAGAAAGTTACGTCATTAAATGGAAATCAAAAAGGAAATCAAAAAGGTTGAACTTTTGAACTAATGATCTTTGCACAAGTTTTGTATAAACTTGCAAAAGTATTACTTACCGTAAATACTGTAATAGTACCCCACCCCCTCGTACAGTCGCGTAGACGAAAAAGTTTTTTTAGTATTTCATTTTTTGCAAAGCGCCCGTACTTCCAAAAAGTGCGTCTTTGGTATCAAAAAATAGCTGAAATTCAGGGCTATTTTTTGATACCTAAGCGCACACTGTAGCATAAGCCAGTGTCGAGAAAAACTCGTTCAAAGCTAGACTGCGCAATACTGCGGACCGTCATTATGGGGGTGGGGTACTATTACAGTATTTACGGTATGATTAAATATTCAAAAATTTGATATGAATTTTTTGAATTTGTTTGTATCTTTGATTTAAATTCTTGATCGTGTTAAAAAAAGCTAGCTAAGGATCCTTTAATCCTTCAATACTTGTCTTCTTTTCATTTAAATTCTATCTTTCACAAAATTTTAGAGTTTAAAAGAACTAGAAGAGTTTAGTACAATATAAAGCTTTGATTCTTTTTCTTTGCTTTGATTTCTACAATATAAAGCTTTGATTCTTTTTCTTTTCTAAATTCAATGACTAATCTAATCTTTGAAATGAATACAGAAAGAAATATGACGTCATTGCGTAAACTGTTTCGAAAGTTTTGAAATAAAATCAAATTCTTAGATCAAGTAATCGCCAATTTCCGGTTTTATAGAAATTTTCCGAGAACAAATTCCACAAATTGCTTCATCAAAGAGATCGAAAAACTTTTCGAAAAGACTTTTAAAAAAAGAAATTTTGATAGAAAATTGAATCTTTATGAAAGTAAAGTTAAAAACTTTCTAAATTTTCTATTTCTTTTTTTTTCAAGAGTTCAATTTGACGTGTCTAATGATAACAAAAAATTTTGATGATTAATTTTTCGAAAATAATAAATTGCAACTTTAAAAACAGGTGTAAATTTTAGCTAAATGTCATTTCATTTGAACTTTTAATTAAAGTTTGTTGGTAAAAAAAATGGAAAAAGGTAAAAAAAATGAGACCAAGTAAATAGGAAATGTGAGCAGAGAAGGGGGAAAAAGAAGACAAAAAAATTGAAAAGACTTGGAAAATTCGAAAGCTTTTTGACGTCAACGAGAAGAAAAACACGAGTTTTAAGTAGATTTAATAATGAGGCTTTGAAAATAAAAAGAAAAGGTTTTCAAAACGAAAATCTGAGTCAGTTTTTAGTTGAAAGAAGGGTGAAATTGATTTCAAATTGTTCAATTGTTTAAAATTATCAATACTTGTTTAAAATCAACAAGAATTGAAACGTTTACTTCGAGAAAGTGATTTGCTGTTCTTTTCTTATCTTTTGCCTCCATTTTTCGCGAACAAGTCGAGTCAAGTCGCGTTTTGAAATTCAGGACCAATGTTGAACGTTCGAGAATGTGTCTGTAGTTATCGTACTTGAAAAAATTCTTTTATTTATTCTTTCTCTAAAAAAGCGTAGGTCCTGGCCGGGGTCGAACCGGCGACCTTGCCCGTGTGAAGGGCACGTGATAACCACTACACCACAGGACCGATGGAGGGACTGCCGAAAGAGGCCATAATGACTTTTTGCAAAAAGATCAAACTTTAAATCTTCATTTTGCAATATCTATTTTTAAGCCTTGTAGCTTTCCGATTAACTTGCAAAATAATTTATTCATCGCATATGTACAGAAGAAATGTTTGTAAAGATTGTTCACGCATCCATTTTCACCTTAAAGTCCGGGAATCGGAATTGGGAGTGTGTTGAGGATTGATGGAACCCTGAAATAGGATTAGAAATTGATTGAGTGGATATTTGAATACTGGAGGAGTGCAGGGAATGATCCGAAGAGAGAAAGGAGTGGATCGAGATTGAGAAGGTTCAAAAGAAGACAGACAATCGCTTGGACAGCGGCGAGGATTTGGTTTAAGACATCTTGTTTCACCTGAAATTCAAATATTGATAACTGTTTTAGAATCCAGTATACCAGAGTCCAGAGTGGGGAGACGATTGGAGTCACTTCATCCAAGACAACAGTCAGAACTTGGAGACAGAGATTGGCGTAGAGATTGGTCTGTCCAGTCAACAAGCCTGGAATGGACTGCGATGATTGTATTGTCAAGTATTTCTTACCAGAGAGCAGATATTCAGTGTTCACTTCCAATTCCAATCCACACGGACCTTCGGGAATGATGAGAATAGTTGGAAGAGTGAGATTTCCTTGAAGGATTTGAAGATGTTCAAGGGTATACTCAACAAAAGTGATTCCATTGACGGTTTGAATGGTTTTTGTCAGGATGTTGACATGGGAAACTGGAAAAATTGATGGGTAAAGATTGACTGAAAGAAACTTACTCCAATCAAGGATACAAACGAGGGCATCAAGATTTGGAATGACTGGGCAATCACAGACTCCATTCAAATTGGGAAGTGGAATGGGAAGAGATGGGACTGAGACTCCGCCAGAAGCTCCAGCTGAAGCTCCACCAGAGAATCCAAGCAATCCAGCCCACGATGGAGTGGCCAAGAGGGCAAGGAAGAGGGGGAGGTGGAGAGCGGACATCATGACCTGGGAAGTATCTTTATTATAAGAATTAGATCGTATCAAAGATTTTAAGATCTTTAGTTCTACAGTATCTTTAGTTAACATTGAGCTTCTACTTTGTTAAGTTTAAAAGTTGAACTCACTTGGTTTGTTGAGTTGAAAGACGAGGTTGTTGATACTTTACTCGATTTAAGCTTGCTTTATATACTGGACTCTATCCAGTGAATCTCTGAACATCGATCAGCTCAGAGACATCATGATTGACCAAAATAAGCTTTTCCTTTTTGACATTACAATAGAAACACCTGCATTTTGCATATTTCATGCAATCAATCGTATGTTTTGATCAAATAGAAGATCATCTAGTGACTGTTATTCAGAGTTTTGATTCAAGAATAGCGACTCCGGTTTTAGATTTTTGAGCTGTTCACAACAATAGTCTAAACCCTTTCCAAAAATATGCAAATTGAAAAGCATAAACGTCCAAAACAGCTGTATGCAAGGAGACAATGGAAGCGGGGAAACAGTTCACTCTGAAAGTTGATCACTCACTCTTGAAAGTGAGCAAAACATGATGTTTTTGTCGAAAATATTCAAATTTCAATCAAAAATTACGTTTCCTACGGTAAAAATAGTAAGGAATGGTTTGTTTTGTACAAGCACGCCCAATCACTGATCTCTTTAGCTGATCGATGTTCAGAGATTCACTGGATAATTTACTATATAAAGCAAGCTTAAATCGAGTAAAGTATCAACAACCTCGTCTTTCAACTCAACAAACCAAGTGAGTTCAACTTTTAAACTTAACAAAGTAGAAGCTCAATGTTAACTAAAGATACTGTAGAACTAAAGATCTTAAAATCTTTGATACGATCTAATTCTTATAATAAAGATACTTCCCAGGTCATGATGTCCGCTCTCCACCTCCCCCTCTTCCTTGCCCTCTTGGCCACTCCATCGTGGGCTGGATTGCTTGGATTCTCTGGTGGAGCTTCAGCTGGAGCTTCTGGCGGAGTCTCAGTCCCATCTCTTCCCATTCCACTTCCCAATTTGAATGGAGTCTGTGATTGCCCAGTCATTCCAAATCTTGATGCCCTCGTTTGTATCCTTGATTGGAGTAAGTTTCTTTCAGTCAATCTTTACCCATCAATTTTTCCAGTTTCCCATGTCAACATTCTGACAAAAACCATTCAAACCGTCAATGGAATCACTTTTGTTGAGTATACCCTTGAACATCTTCAAATCCTTCAAGGAAATCTCACTCTTCCAACTATTCTCATCATTCCCGAAGGTCCGTGTGGATTGGAATTGGAAGTGAACACTGAATATCTGCTCTCTGGTAAGAAATACTTGACAATACAATCATCGCAGTCCATTCCAGGCTTGTTGACTGGACAGACCAATCTCTACGCCAATCTCTGTCTCCAAGTTCTGACTGTTGTCTTGGATGAAGTGACTCCAATCGTCTCCCCACTCTGGACTCTGGTATACTGGATTCTAAAACAGTTATCAATATTTGAATTTCAGGTGAAACAAGGTGTCTTAAACCAAATCCTCGCCGCTGTCCAAGCGATTGTCTGTCTTCTTTTGAACCTTCTCAATCTCGATCCACTCCTTTCTCTCTTCGGATCACTCCCTGCACTCCTCCAGTATTCAAATATCCACTCAATCAATTTCTAATCCTATTTCAGGGTTCCATCAATCCTCAACACACTCCCAATTCCGATTCCCGGACTTTAAGGTGAAAATGGATGCGTGAACAATCTTTACAAACATTTCTTCTGTACATATGCGATGAATAAATTATTTAAATCTTCATAACTTGTAAAATGCAATAACTTTTTAAAAGTTTAATCATGATATTGTCTACGTAACGTTTTTTGGCCTGCCACATTTAAAAATTTTTTTAAACGGAAGCACTCAAACAAGGCGCTGTCGCCAAGTTGCGTACAGGAGAGAGCAAAAAAAATGATTTTCCCCAATCAGAGCTCAGCTCTGATTGGGGAAAAGGCTTATGACAGGGTAGTGTGATAAGAAAAGAGAGAAAGTCAATTCGACTTGTTGATCGCTTTTTTCTAGAAAAAAGACAAAGCCCTAAAACTCATAAAAACATAATGAGCGATTTGCGAGAGCGACGCTTTCATTTCACGAGTCTTTCCTCAAATTCCTCTTCTTCTCGTCGACTCCGAATGAGCGATTCGACCGAAGTTGATGAGGTGCGGTGAAACATAAATTTTCACTCTCTTTTTACACCTATCTTAATATGTAATAAAATGGGTAGATAAGAAAAGGTTCAAGTTTTTGGGTTTCATTATTATTCATCGATTTTTTTTGTTGATGGGACTTGATGTCAGTCGGCCTGTTGGGCCAAAGAAATCCTTTTTAGAGGTCAGAGATAATAATAGTACTCTTACTTAGTACATAAGTACTCTACTTAGTACATAGGTACTCTTACTTAGTACATAAATACTCTTATTTAGTACATAAGTACTCTTACCTAGTACATAAGTACTCTTACTTAGTACAGGTTGTTAGAGTCTAATTGTTAGTGTTTTCCCATCATTATATTAATCGAGAATCTTCTTTAAAATCTTCTCAATCTGTCAAATGAATCTTTTTCCTTATCAATAGGATCTTACCTAAGTCTTGGAAGTCTTGAAAGGTCTTTTGACTCACAACCGTAAATGCCTGCTAATATTTAAAAAAATATTGTTCAGTACGACGATTTCGATGTGAATTACGATTATACTAAACCAAGACTCTTTCCATCGGAACGAAAAGCGATCAATCGACCTTTATACTATTCTCTTGAAGATGATGTTGAGCCAAGTACAAGCCAAGAGGCAGAACAAATCACAATTGAAGGTAAAATTTAATCCAGACTTTAAACTAAAGCTTGGCCACCTTTAATCTTTAGCTCCAAACTTGACAAATGATGTTGGGAAAATGGATGATTTGGAGCGAGAGATTCAAAATATTTTCATTCATGTTCATGATGAAGAGGGACGATATTATACGGATCTTACTACATTTCATGGAATGGTACGTATTAGGTTGTTCGGAAATAAATGAGCGTTTTCAACTCGAAAATTTAAAATCCCAAAACTTGATCCAAACAAAACTTTAATAATCGAAATAAGAACCATTACAATTAACAATTTATGCCGGTAGCATAGAAGCCCGGGCTTCTGGAGGCGATAAAGTCGGCAAAGGCGTTTTTAGCATCGTCTTGAGTTTTGAAGCATTTCTCCCGGAGAAAGTTGTCGAGGTGCTTGAAAAAGTGGTAGTCGGTAGGCGAAAGGTCCGGCGAATATGGCGGGTGAGTTCGTGGCTCAGTTCGTTCAGCTTTTGCAGGGTCGATTGTGCGACGTGCGGACGAGCGTTGTCGTGGAGAAGAATTAGATCTTTTCTTTTGACCAATGCCGGGCACATTCGCCGCAATTTCTGATGCATTTCGTCGATTTGTTGGCAGTATTTCTTTGCCGTAATCGTTTCGCCCGGATTCGGAAAGCTGTGATGGATGAGACCAGCTGCGGGTCACCAAACAGTCACCAGAACCTTCTTTTTGCAAATTTGTATTTGGAAAGTGTTGTGGAGCCTCTTCGGCATCCAAGCACTGAGCGGAACGTCGCCGGTTGTCGTAGAGCATACTTCATTGAGAAAAATGTGCCCAAATATAAACAATACAAAATCCGGACAACCTAATATAAACTTTAGTTAAATCTTTCAAGAATTGAAAACTTGAATCAGCCTAACGTTTGACTAAAGAAAAGCTTTCAGAGACGAATTTTCGTCGCTCAAACATGGCCCTCTCGGCTATTTTGGTGTGCTGTTGTTGTGAATTGTTTAACGTTTTTTATGCTTTATGTAAGTTAATAAGTTGTTGCTGTTGTTAACTTTGAAGTTAACAATTTCGTTGATCATTTAAAGTTATTGTATTTTAGAGCGGTCGTACGATTAACGCTTATCATCAAAAACCGTCATTTATGATGAGAACAGCTCGTTCTTCAATCTCTCCATTTAACGATTTAAAGTTCAAATTTTGCAAGCAGAATATAAGGTACTCAATTAACAGTATTATTTACCGTTTATTGTAGATTAAATTGTTCTCAACTCGATCTCAACACCAAATACAAATGCGAAGAACTTGATGAATGTGTATTACTTTTTGATCTTTTATTAGGACACGATCATCCATTGAGACATGTGAAGAAAAGGATTCGAATCAATCATTTGACAACAGGTAAGAAAATCAGCACAATATTATTAACAAATCTTTAGGCTATGCAAAGCTTCCTATCGAGTTATCACTTTTCTATGGAACTCGGCTGAAATCGCGGATTTTTCTCTCATATTTTCGCCAGAATCGTCTCAGTATGCGCATGCGAAAAGTGCGCTGTGAGCTATTATCGGATTCTGTTTTGTAAAGAAATTTAATATTTAAGAACGAAAGGCTGATAACATTGAACTTTTAGAGAAAACTGCTGACTGCAGATGAGGGTGGGATGTGCAGCGAGGATTGGTCACTTTTGGATTTCCCAGTGGAATTCCTCCCAAAAGTTTCATATACTTTGGGAAATTGTGAACATCTGCGATATTCTTTATATTATTATGCACAAAAAGGATGCATTCCTCATGAAAGTCGGCATGTATTTGGAGGGAATTTCACTGAATGCCTTTTTGCAATTCAACCGACTCCAAAAGATATCAAGGAGATTCAAGGTGAGGAACTTGGTACTAGTTTGGTACTAGTTTGGTACTAATTTGGTACTAATTTGGTACTAATTTGGTACTAATTTGGTACTAATTTGGTACTAATTTGGTACTAATTTGGTACTAATTTGGTACTAATTTGGTACTAATTTGGTACTAATTTGTGTTCTTCTCAATTAGTACAGTTTCTAAAACATGTAAAGCTTCGAACAAGTAACTTTTCAATTCACTCATGCCTATTTATGGTTTATAAAAGATTTTGATCAAGCATAGCAGATTGATCAAACTTTTAACTCCAATAACTCCAGAAAATCACTATTATTCTAGAGATTAGACTTTAAAATCCCAATCTGTTGGATCTAAAAAACTCTAGCAGCTTTTTAGCAGCTTTTTCGCAGCGTACAGTATAGTAGCTGTACAGTTGTACACATTCAATTTCCAGGTTTCCGCTGTCGACCTCAATGTGAACGTGTTGACTTGAAAGTGAAACTTGAAAAGCCGTTTTCAAAGAAAGTCAAAGTCACCTCAATCTATGCAATTCTCGATCTAGAAATGGATACTTTAATAGAAGAAAGAGTTGTGACAAAAAAGATGGGAATGTTCGATGTGATGTGTGGGTGAGATGATTGAAATTCTGGAAAACATTTCTTTCAGCATTGATCGGCGGTGCCACTTCTCTGTTTCTTGGCTGTAGTTGTATCACTTTAATGGAAATGTTCATTTACTTATTCAAATCGACTACATCAGTAATCTCAAAAAAATCGCGGAAACGGGAACGATTTTTGAGATGAACAAAGGTGTGGTGGTTTAGCAAGAAAAACTCTATCAAAGCTTGACTTTAAATTAAAATTACTTGCTTTTAGCTGAATATCTTCAAATTTTGCTAGAAAGCAAAAGATATTCAGTGAAAATTAGTCAACTTAACAAGTTTACGTGTAAGTGTTGTGACATTACAAGCGTTTTTGTTGACGAATCTGGAGCTAGAGCAAACGAGACTAAATTTGGCACCAAAAAGCACTAAATTTGGTTGCTTACTTCCTTACTTCCTTCTCTTTCTTCTATCCCAAGAAGATACCGGATAGCTCAGTGGTTAGAGCATCTGTCTGGAAAGAAAAAAGGGTCGAGGGTTCAATCACCTCTCCGGAAATCTTTTTTTGCTATTTCTTACTTTACTTGATTGTTAGATTTTATTCAGGACTATTCGAGAATCCGTCGATCAACATCGCTCGTCGTCGAGCTTTCCAGAGTCCCTTAGTAGAGGAAGAGATTCAAAGTAAATCGAACACTCTCTACAGAAAGAAGATTTCAATTGTACCACTGAGGTAAGCCTGATTAGTTGAAAAATCTTCAAAAAACATCAAAAACCTCTTCTTTTCTTGGCTAAATTCTTTCGCAATTGTCTTTGAAAATCCCAAAACTCCAATATTCACGCATAAATCTATTGTCTTCTATTTGAGTTACCAGAATTTTAAAGTATAACTTGCTAATTAATTGATCTATTGGTGCTAATTACTGTACTTGAGTGTACTGTAGACTGTACTGTAGACTGGACTGTAGTGGACTGTGCTTGAGGACTAATAGCTAGTCAGAGAATTAGAGAATGAACCTGCCAAACTCGAAATCCACTTCTGACAATTCAAAATTGCTGAACAAAATGTGTCTGCCTATTTTAAAAGTAGCATTACTCATCGAGGAGAATTTAAAAACAAAAAAAAAACTGAAGCCAGTACTCTTATTGTGCTTTGAAGAGCATAATTGGGTTGTGGGTGGAAAAAAGGGAAAAAAGAGGAGTGGAAATCGAACGGCCAGCTAGCATTTGGGGGAAAGGAAGGGAAGAATGGATGAATGGTTGTTTGTCATGAAATTCCCTATTTTCAGAACGGTTTCAACAATCAAAATTTTTATTAGATTTTCCTTTTAATAGCTATTCATTTATATAGCTATTCATTTATATTATATTTATCTTGTTTCTTGCTAGATTTGATAGGCTAAAGTTTTCAGTTACATTGAAGCTTTATCATGTTGAAATCTGGTACTATACTTTTCCAATTTAATATACAAAAATAGATCCTGAATAGGAAAATAGATAAGAAAAGTCTAAGAATAGATACCGTAAATACTGTAATAGTACCCCACCCCCTCGTACAGTCGCGTAGTCGCAAAAGTTTTTTTCGTATTTTTTTAGTATTTCATTTTTTTCAAAGCACCCGTACTTTCAAAAAATGCGTCTTTGGTATCAAAAAATAGCTGAAATTCAGCGCTATTTTTTGATACCTAAGCGCGCATTGTAGCATAAACCAGTGTCGAGAAAAACTCGTTCAAAGCTAGACTACGCAATATTCCGCACCGTCATTATCTTTGATATCAAAAAATACCCCTGAATTTCAGCTATTTTTTGATACCTAAGCGCGCATTGTAGCATAAATCAGTGTCGAGAAAAACCCGTTCAAAGCTAGACTACACAACACTCCGCACCGTCATTATGGGAGTGGGGTACTATTACAGTATTTACGGTAGTTGTCTTTTGCTAAAGTTGAAAAGATAATTGAACAGGTTTACTATTACCGAGCTTTGAAGCGATTGTAAACTTACAACTAATATGCTGAAATGTTGAATGCCGAAAAACTTACAACTACTATGCCGAATTAGCGCCGTTTTCTATATTTTTATCCGACTTACTATAAGTATACGTTTATTCAACATAAATAATTTAACAAAAGCAAATACACAACTCCTAATACCCAGAGAAAAACCTTTATATTGGAAAGAGCGAAACTTTCTAGCGGCTGGGATCGAACCCGTGATCTCCCGATTCGTATACAAGACTTCTAGCAACTCAGCCATGACGACATTTAGATTGGGAGCTGTGTTAGCAGCTAAATCCTGTCTTTCTGGCTCATTCAATACAACTCAGTGTTGCTTAAATTGCTCTTAACTGCACCAAAGTAAAGCCAGAATTGAGTGCACCAGAAATCCCATGTTTCCATTTTTAGCACAAGGTTCAAACATTTGCATGCATTTCCAACATTTCCTTTTAACTCCTCCAATCGATTCCCCTTTTCCTCGATTTCCCCATCCTATCCTCTTCTTCTTTTATCGTCCACTCGATCGAATCGCCTCCTTTTTTACCTGACTCCCCTTTTTCACTCATTCAATCGCTTTTGTTGTTGATTTCACACATTTTCGCGCATGCATTTAAATCAATATAATACAATTCTTTTATATTTTTTCCAAAAAATTCTTTTCAGTCCAGTGCGAAGACTGTCGACATTCAGCTTCAACAAGTACTCAAGACATTCTATGCGAAAAGGTTTGTTCAATCACAAGATAAGTAGAGAATTTTGACTTTAAATTTTAAACCTTATATGGGAAAATAGAGGAAAATAGCATTGGTTTTAAAAAAATTTATAAACAAGAAGCTTGTAAAAAGTTTTTTTGAAATTCCAACACTTCCTGGAGTTCAGCCAATGAATTTGAATGAATTTTCAAATATTATTCTTAGCTAATGACAATTAAAATAAATAAATATTAAATGTCGAATAGTTTTTAATCGTTTACAATCATAAAATACAAATTCAAACATTTTAAAATTGATTAAGATCAAAATAAGAAAATTTTGTTGATTACAGTAATTCATTGGAGTCACTTTATTTTATCAAACCCATCAGATCAACGATTTCCAGCATCTCTTCACTGTAAAGTGTTTCATTTTGTATTAGGTTGGCAAGTTATAAACGATCGTTTTTGGGTAATGTGTTTTCTGAAAAAAAGGCTTATCCAATCAAAAAACGGTTTGCTTGATTCAAAAGCCCTATTCTTAATCTAAAATTTCAGAAAAATCCAATCTTCGGAAGGTTGATTTTCAAATTAGGCTCAAAATGCACTTTTAATGCTAATTTAATCCATTTTCGTTTGAATTTAAGCAAGATTAAACGGTTCGATCGATTGGATTATTCTGAAATTTTGCGAAACTATGTAATCGATGAAGCGTTTTATTTTTAAAAAGTATGCAATCACTCAAAAATATATTAGCTCATGAATGCTAGAAACCAGGATTTTGAACTCTTACATTAAAATGCCTGAAAAAGCCATTTTGTAGATTAAGGATAGGGCTTTTGAATCAAGCAACCCGTTTTTTGATTGGATAAGCCGTTTTTTCAGAAAACACATTACCTAAAAACGATCGTTTATAACTTGCCAACTTAATACATTCAAAAGAATTTTTGATCAATTCCTATTGAATTTACCATTATCTAGAGCTTTTCAGAAGATCGCTCGGACTCTCTCTCCTCCGTACAAACGCTACCTAATCCAAAAAGGTTTGTTAATGTAAAAAACTTTCCCTAAAACCAATAAAACCAATCGATTTTCTATTTCATACATATTCACATGTCTGTCCGATGAATTGCAAATCTGGTCAGAAAGGCAAAAATGAGTGCAAGTTGTAAACGGGCGGTCAAACCCCTTTTGTTACGCACTCCGAACAAACGACAAAGTCTCTCGAGTTCAAAAATATCCATCCCTATTAAATTCTAAAAGCTTTTTTGTTTCTGCTTTTTGAAAAGTTTTTTGATTTTCGAACTTAGATGCTAAAGTTGCGTTTGAATTGATGATAAGTACTTTATTAAACTGTATTAAACTGTATTAAACTGATGAAAAGTACTTTATTAAACTTACTAAACATCAAAAAAATTCTAACTCAAATCTAACTCTTTGTTTTTTTGATCATTCTGAAATTTTGTTAATGAAATTATTAACCTATAGACAAAATTCTAGAAGAATTTGGTAAAAGAAGCGAAGATGGACTTATTAGGTTGGTGAATTGAAAACTGCGGGACTTTGAACTAAAATTTATTCAACATAAAACCATGAATTCATTCGAAATAATTTCCATTATTATTGACGACTTCTGCCCATTTTAAAGGCAATTTGCGGATTCCTCTTTCGTATAGGATTTTGGTTTTGAATCAAAAAACTTTCAAGGCCAATTTTTGACTGCTTCTTCCGAATCGAAGTGTTCTCCCGCAAGCTCATTACTCATGGTCCGGAATAAATAGTAATCAAAAGGGGCGAGGTCCGGACCGTATGGGGAATGCGCCAAAAGTCCCCAAATAAGGCTATTTATTTTAGAGCTAGTCAGTTTTGCAACATGAGGGCGCGCGTTGTCGTAGAGGAGAACGATCTTTGCCTTGAAGACGCATTTTTTGAAAGTAATTGAAAACTGCGGGACTTTGAACTAAAATTTATTGAACATAAAACCATAAATTCATTCGAAATAATTTCCATTATTATTGACGACTTCTGCTCATTTTACAGGCAATTTGCGGAAAAGGGGCGAGGTCCGGACTGTATGGGGAATGCGCCAAAAGTTCCCAAACAAGGCTATTTATTGTAAGAAATGTAAGAAAAGATAGATAGATTATAGACAAATATTACATTACTATTGACGACTTCTGCTCATTTTACAGGCAATTTGCGGATTCCTCTTTCGTAGTAGGATTTTGGTTTGTGTGTGAGACAAGTGTGAGACTCAAAAATGGAGGATTGGATGTCCCAGATGTCCCAGTTTGAGCACTTTCTTCAAAAGAAACCCATTTTGGTGTCAATAGAAAAGTTGTAGAGAATCAAAAATTAGGCTTATAGCCAAATTTCCAAAAAGATACACTTAGTAGTTTCGCTTAAAATGCAAGTTTTGTGAAAATTCGTAAATTTGGCATTTCTTGAAAACCAGTTTTTGAATCGTTCTGTAAATTTGGATATAAGCTTGATTTTTGATTCTCTACAACTTTTCCATTGACACCAAAATGGGTTTCTTTGAAGAAAGTGCTCAAACTGTCACATATGACAATAGCCCGCAGTTTTCAATTCACCAACCCAATATTATAGGTTGAATCTAGAATTTTCACATGTCTAATTTTTATATAACAAGAATTTTACGGTATCTGAAAATTTAAATAATCATAAAGTTTCTAATAAATCAAAAGAAATTGATTTATTGTTTGAACAACAAATACTTTTGTGAAACTAAACCTTTCCATTCAGTCAGAAAGCTTTTTATCTATTTTGCACTTTCGTTGAACCAAAATTAGTCTCTGCTCCATTTATGGTCAATCAGTTTTTTTGCGTAAATTTCCCTCAACCTATTTTTTCTCTCATTCAATCTTATATTTCCTAGAGTCACTCAATTTCAGTTCGATTTTTCAGTGTTTACTTTCACAACACTTTGAGCAGAACCACTTCTTCTTTGTTAAACCAAAAAAAATTTAGATCTTCAAGACTGGAGGAGGCGTCAACAAGTCGTGAATGGACAACCGATTCGTCGTTTGAAAAGCGACGAGCTCCATCATTGAGACATCTCAAAGAAAAGTGGGATGAAAACAATAATAATTGAAATTGTCTTTTATTTTCAGCGTCACATTCAACAATCACTCATCGCACTCAATCGAGAAAGTTGTGAGAAAGTTGCCTGTCGAGAAGCGAATGGTAAAGACAAAGGGAAAGCAAAAACTGCTCAATTTAGAGTCTGGATACAAACGACGAGGGGAAATATCTGTGTCGTCAAACGGCAGTCGATATTCCTGATGAAGATTTGGCTGAGTATTTTGCGGACAACGGATTAGAATATCCGAAAGACAAATCGAGTGTTGGCGAGACGAGAATGAGCAAATTGCATGGTTGGTGTGATTTATGGTTGCTAAACCAATATAAGAGTCAAATTCTTTCATTGAAGATTAGTATAAGCGTCAAATCTTTCATTGAAGATCAATATTCAAAGGAAACCAAATTTTAAACTTTAGACTTTAAAATAGTAACTAATTTCAGCTAATCAAAGGATATTCTCTGAAGTTAGGTAAACTCTTAGCAGCAATTACTTGCGCATCAATTGCATGGTTGGTGTAAAATAAATCTTTACTATAAAATGTCAATGTCTACCAAAAATTATTTGAATCGATTGTTAATAAACTGAACTCAATAAGATAAATATTGTTTATTTATCAAGATCAAAACATTTCAGCTATGCCATCGGAGAGCGGCTCGACGCGTTCCTCAATCTCCCATCGCTCAATTCGCTCAACGAGAACTAGCTCAGAAGTTGCTGTAATCACTCTTGTACACGAGCCAGCTGGCACAAGAAAGCGACCTAGCAAGATCTATACAAGAAAGATGCCGATGGGTGACTTGTGATCAAGTTAATCATCAACAAATTATGCGGGATATGTACATAAAGTATTTATCAAAATCAAGTGTGTAATCATAGCACCCGTAAAGCTCAATCAAGTAAGAATTTCAAGGTAAACATAAAAGTTAACAAAATTGAGGTACTGAATGAGGATTTCTCCATAGTATATGTCATTAAGAAGCCATTTTTCGTTACCGTGGGGCTCCAGTAAACCTGAAATTTCAAATTTGGAAGATTTTTAAGTTCTTTTACCTGAAGTGCGTATCCATTTGCTTGGAAGGCCTGATTTTGAACGGGAGAAGTGCTAAAGTTTTGGATTTGATTCATAAGATTTGATTTGATTTTGAATTTGATCTATAAGACTTGATTTGATTTTGGATTTGATCCATAAGATATCGTAATTCTGTAAGATACCGTGCTTTCATAAGAGACTATAACTCCTTAAGATAACGTAAAACAACAACTAAGCCATAAGCTGCAAATTAAGCCTGATTTTAAGCCACCATTGACCCTTTAAATGTTTAAACTTTAAACTCACATATTCAGCGTGTGATAAACCGTCTCAAATTTCTTCTTTATCTTCTCAGTATTGGTGATGATGATAGAGCAATTCCCATTGCCTCCCGGATCAGCTCTAACAACATTCACCATGTATTTCGCGTCTGGATCCAAATAAGTGTCCTCTGAATAAGGAAATAGAGAAAGTTTTGAGACTTACACTAAGTTTGTAACTTACTGTAGAAAATTTGGAAGATTGGAATTGAATAGAAAGTGTTTCTCAAGCTGTTATCGTAGTTTCCTGGATACTCGGCACTCATCACGAATCCATTTGCTCCAAATTGGAAAGAAACCGACGAGAGATCTGTAAATACTCGGATTTAACACACCAAATATATTCCTAGCTCAATTTTGAGCTGATTTTGAGCTGATTTTGGCTTTGAATTACAATATCTATACCAACCATTGTTTGCAGCTTTGACATCAGCTGAGAAATCGCAATTCTCTTTGACAATCAGTGTTGCAGCGTTTGCGAGCACATCGGAGCGGATGAATTGCGCTGCGTTATCGCTACTAAAACAATGTTTTAAATCATCTAGACAATATTGAAATTAGCAAAATCGCTTACTTAAACTTGTACAACAACATTTTCTCTTTCATTTCATTTGACGGAATTCCATGTACATAAAGATTTGCCTCACAACCGTTTGCCTGAACAATTTCTTGAATTGCGTGAACAATTTCTTGATCAGTTACCAGTTGAACATTGCCTAGAGCCATTTCAAGAGAGAAATGATGGAAAAATGTGATGGCTTTTGTTTTCCCAGGTGTTTGAGATCGAGATTGAATTGGAGTTGTGCCAGAGTCGCCTACGGAGATCAACGTGTAATCGGTTAAGCCAAGTTGATCACGCTCGCTTTCAGCTGAAAATCTCAATTATACAAGCCTTAATTTGACTATTTCAGAGCTAAGAATTTAAATATTCTTATTTCAATTGTTCAAGTCTTACAAGAATAGCTGGTGAAAGTTGCCAAGAAGTAAGACGTCCTGGGATCAAAAGAAACATGAACGAAATCCTTGAAACTCGTCGGAGTCTTGATTAGATCGTAGATACTAAATATATTCTATATACTTTATCAGAAATCAGAAAAGTTCTACCTGATTCTTGTCGAATTGTCATTGAAATAGATATTGGATACAAAGGATGAGTTTAATGGTTGAATGTTTACTTGGATATAGCTTCCATTAGTCTCGATTACTTTCTCGATCTAGGTTTTGATTGAATCTACCCTAAAGTCTCGAGTATAAGTTCATCCGAGTATAAGTTCTGCCTTAATTTACATTCGCTTTAATTGCTTTGAATTTCTTTTTGTTGGATTTTTATACATTTTTATTGTTATATAAACTTTTATTATTGTTCTTGGAGCGCGGGATACTACAGGGTGACAGCCTATCACCATTGCTATTTTGTTATGTGCATGGATACATCCAGACGATAGTGTTGAAGAAGACGCTGGAAAGCATCTCTTTCGACCGTCGACGTGGACTTTGGCCGGATGAAGAGGCCAGGGAGGGATCCATAAGACTGAGCACCGGAGAGGAGCAGGGTGGACGCGCCGAGCCACGCCCGGAGCAACAAATAACAGCATAAAATTGCTATAACCCTCAATAAATTTACTTCTATTATTGTTCTTAAAAAGCAAAAAAGTTATGCTGCAGCGGGGTTCGAACCCTCGACACACCGCACCGGAGACAGCCGTCAATTTGCATGCGAAAACCAAACAGAACTTATACTCGCGACTTTAGGGTAGTTTTATGAAAAAAACTTACAAAGTTTGAGAAAGTTGAATCGAATACTAAAGGGTTTTTATCAACAACAAAATATTCAATAATTGGTCCTTGATAGTTAAAAGTCGCTAAAAATCCCGTCCGTCCAGTCCCACCGGGAACCCAATTTAGCTAAAATAAAGAAATGTATTCTAGAATTTCAATATAATTGTGTATTCTTTAAGCACAACTCTTTAAGCACAAGTTTTTGAAGTCTAACTCACCCAAATATCGTGCGCAGTGCCATTCAAATTCATTGTTTTCTCCCTGGAAATGACTTAAATTTACAATTATTAGCAAAAGTTTACTAAAAAATGATTTAAATTGCTTAATTCTAAACTAATTACGTTTTTATAGGCTCACACAGTAAAGTTCGATCCAGTGACAAGCTCGTTTTGTTCCAAAATCTCCACACCAAGATATCCACCGCTTCCCGGTGCACCTCTGACATCAATCGAGATTGGAAAAGGACTTCGACCAGTGGCTGGAAATGGTATTAATCATGAAACAAATAGACTTAAATAGATATTAATATTAATAATGAATTAGAAACCTTAGATACTAACCATGAAATGAGTTCTGAAATCCTTTCACAGACTCTTTCCTGCTGAAGTTAGTCCCCGGAAAGTCACAGCTGGCCACAAAGCCATGAGAATAACCTCCATCAATTTGGATTGCCCCTAAAATGTTGATTGTAGTAGAAACTCTATTCTTTTGTACAAGAACTCTATTTTCCTCCAAGTCTCACCTTCAACGTGTTTCCTCAGATCGAACGAAACACTGCAGTTTGCTGTCACCAAAAATGTGTAATAGGCAGCACTGAGAGTCGGTGGTACAAATGTGGCCGCATTGTAAAAACTGAAAGTAAAGACATTTGAAAATCTAGACTAAATGGCGTCATGGCCGACTGGGTAGGAGCTCTGTATCTTAGTCGAGAGATCAAGTGTTCAATTCTAGCTAGATGATTAGTTCTTTTTTCCCAGGGAAACCCATATAGGTTTCCCTACATTTAGGGCTTAAAGTTGTGTTTTTGTATTATTTTTACCAAATTATTCGTGTAAATAAATGTATTTTTTCATCGAAACTTGCTAAACCTTAAAGTATAGAGGTACGCTAGAGATCCAGGGATCAATCCAGCGGGTCCACTTTGATAAAATCTCATTGAACAGGGTGAGTCGCTATTCTGAATGGCTTTTCTGATTTCAAATTCTCCTTTAACTTACAAGGAATTGAATGTTTTGCATATCAAAATTATAGCAACTGGCTTTCGAATATTGTTTGTTGATAATAGTGATCATTCTGTATGCATTTGGATCGGCTGAGATTGTGTAACTCGTCGAACTTTGTGCTGAACCATCAAATAAATGTAATGTGTAGTCATCGTAGCCAAGAGTCGCTGTTTGATCTGCTGAAATGAAATTTTTTTGGTTTTAGATTCTGAGGAATTTTTGAAACTATCAAAACTTTAAACAAAACAATTTCATACCTTTTGGACAAATTGCAAATGAAACATAGAAATCGTTAGAAGTCCCTTGATCCATAAAGAATTGAATTCCACCGGTCACTCGTAGCCCTTTTGGACCAGCATTTTGAACATCAATTTGTCTGAAATTGAGAATTTTTCACAACAAAATTACTACAAACGTGTAAGTCATGTTGTCGATTCCAAAAAAGTGAAACTTTGTGGTGTTAAAGTTTGAAAAAAGGGCATTCACTTGAAGTTGATAAGAAATATCGACTGAGATGATGACCATATCCTTTAAAATCTTGTTATTGAGGAAGTTTTGTCATTTCTGAATCTAAAAATACACTACTGGGCAATGAAATATCATACTTGAAAAAAGATCGTCACTTTCGCGCGTCTGTAACTCCCTTGTCTTTACCGTATTTCTAAATATTAATTTTACCATTGTGTAGCCCTTGAAAAGAGCTTTCAGAAATGGTACAACACTAATAGTTTAAACGCAAAGACAATGGAGTTATAGACGCGCGAAAGTGACGATCGTTTTTCAAATATCATATTTCATTGTCCAGTAGTGTCCGTATTGCAAAAACATTGCTGTGTGCCTCGGACAGCAATGTTTCTTGACTCGCGCTTCGGAGTTTGTGCGAATCCCTCAACAACACTTTTGCTCCATTTACAATGTGAGTGGTAAAGCTTTTATTCAACAAATTTATATATCTAAAAGCATATGAGATGATCCATCTCACCCCTTGATTAAACTCGGATCCATAAAAAATCAATGACGGATTCAACACATCCAATTGAAACAATTTCTGTGCTAAAGAATTGATGAAAATAGAATTTTATATACATTACCTTGTATAGATCCTACAAGTAAAAATAAAAGCGAAAACAAGGCAGACATTTACAATATTGGAGTTATCGAAGCTGGCAATTTACAAAGGTTTAAATAAGAACAGACAAGGTGACGAGAAAAGAAAGAAGCTTTTCTCTTATCGGTCCCTCTTTCAATGATGAGATTTCTGCAAAAGGTAAAGAGCAAAAAAAAAAGACGAAATTCGATGACACATCTGCTGACTTTTCTAAGTTTTATCATTCTAACCGGTCAGCGACGTAAATCTTTTCTTACAGCTTAGAAAAAAGTGTGGGCGGACGTCGAATATTCTAATATTCTTGATCTTCTTGAGTAGACAAGGCTTGCAAAAATGTCAAACATTTTCATCAATGTTGGACGAGTAACCGGTCAGCGACGTTGGGAAAGTTTTTAAATCTTATTTCAAAACGCATCAGATATTCCCGAAAGCTAAATATTCGGAGTGAAACTTTTTACAGATTTTGTAACCAGTACAAATCTCAGGAATTTGACAAAAACATAACAAGTAAAGTTTTTTGAGTAAAGTCATCTAGTCACTCTTCTTGACTCATACGCAATAAGAAATAGATCAATGTCCAAATCTTTTTTCTGTGAGCACCGGAGTAAAACCGGATCTACGATAGTATCGGGGGGACAATTTTGATTTTCAAAATCAGGGAGAAGGCTAAAATCAAGTTAAAAGCACCCTAAATACCAATTTTTTCTGTTGTGGTGATTGATGTCATTTTGAAGTTAATATCGTCGAGAATTGAGTTGAACGGATCTGCATCTAGGTCTAATGAAAGTCTGAAGGCCTTCAGCCAAATAACTTTTAAGCATTGTCTCGTGAGTGTTTATAATCCAGGTGTTTCTCAAGTCTGCGATAGGCCTATACATCGGGGATGATCCTTATTCCCGTTTCAATGAATTTCTCGATCTCTCCGATGAGTATAGTTAAGTTTCAAATTATTAAACATCAAGACTAACTGCTCCCGAGAGTTTTCAAACATAAAGAAACAGAATCTGATGTTAGTTTTTAGTTACAGTAACATATAGTGACCAGAATCAGGGCTTTTCTGAAACCTCTAGGTGCAAATTTTTGTTTACTGATATCCCTTTTGTCCCAGAAAGCAACGCATAACTTTGTAATATGTTAAAATTACTCAAAATAAAAAGAAAGTAGATCCTGGCCTTGCCCTAGCTATATTTATTGTATGTCCCATTGTTTATTGTTATCGTACAACATCGCAAAAATGGATACAAGAGTTTGTTGACTCTGCCATTGTTACAATCAAAAAAAGTAGGTCCTGGCCGGGATTGAACCGGCGGCCTTGCCCGTGTGAAGGGCACGTGATAACCACTACACCACAGGACCGACGGGCAAACGGAACACTTTGAACAAGAAGAGAACGAGGCAAAATCTTATGACTTTAAAAATAGTTTACCATTTTTTCACGATATTCCCAGTTCCAGAATGATTAAGTAATGTAGAGAGCTATGTGTTTTGCTTGTTTTAAGTTGACAATGAGATTGCAATACTTTATTCATCATATATTTACAGAAGAAAGATTCACAAGTTCTTGTTCGTTAGCTCTTCACATCACTTACAAGTATGCATTTTAGTTGATGTTTTGTTAGTTATAAACGTTATTATGTTATAAACGTTTAATGTTATAAATGTCAAATGTTATAAATTTTATTTCACTTGTTGTGAATAGTTTGCTGATTTGCGCTTTGCATAAATAGTTTGAAATCAAAGACTAATTTGAATTGAGCCATGTTCACAGAAGCCGATTCGTGCATCGTGCACGGCTAGCGAAAAAATTTCATTCGTAATCGGCTAGCCGTTAACGAATCATTCGTAAGCGGCTACGACATATAAATGGCGAATAAATCACTTTCCAAGTTCACTCTGACACTAGCACTAGGCCCAATAGATTATTGAATAATCTTGAAGCTTAAGTTCTCCTTGTTCATTTTTAATCTTTGATCATTTGTGGCCCTAAAGAGGGCCGTTGGGTTTGGGGTTTTTTGTTGATTGTTCAACAGCAACAGCTTATTCCTTGTCTCCGGCGGTCTTCTTTGGGAGAAGAACAGCTTGGATGTTCGGAAGAACTCCTCCTTGAGCGATAGTGACTCCTGACAACAATTTGTTCAGCTCCTCGTCGTTTCTGACGGCCAATTGGAGATGGCGGGGGTTGATTCTGGTCTTCTTGTTGTCACGAGCGGCATTACCGGCCAACTCCAACACCTCAGCAGCGAGGTATTCGAGAACGGCGGCAAGGTAGACTGGCGCTCCAGCTCCGACACGTTGAGCATAGTGGCCCTTGCGGAGGAGACGGTGAAGACGACCAACGGGGAATTGAAGTCCGGCACGAACCGAGCGGGATTTCGCCTTGCCTCCGGTCTTGGCTTTGCCTCCTTTACCACGTCCAGACATTGTTGAGAGAGTTGAAGAGAGATTGGCGACTGAGAACTGTCGATGGATTTTTGGGGGATGGCAGGGTTTATGAGGGTTTTGGAGTGAATGGGCGGGATCAAGATAAGAGAAAAGGGAAAGAGGGGAATTGTAGAGAGGATTGGGGTACCCCCAGGGTCAGCCTTCAGCATCATTCGTAACTCCGCCTCTCCACTCCATCTCTCATATAAGAGCCCCTCCAAACCCCAACCTTCATCTTGTGTTCGACAACCCAAGCCAACTCTCAACTTCAACATGCCACCAAAGCCGTCCGCCAAGGGAGCCAAGAAGGCCGCCAAGACCCAGAAGACCCCTCGTTCTGGAGACAAGAAGAGGAGAAAGTCAAGAAAGGAGTCCTACTCGGTCTACATCTACCGTGTGCTCAAGCAAGTCCACCCCGACACTGGTGTCTCCTCAAAGGCCATGTCAATCATGAACTCCTTCGTGAATGACGTCTTTGAGCGCATCGGTGCTGAGGCTTCTCGTCTCGCTCACTACAACAAACGGTCCACGATCTCATCCCGTGAAATCCAAACCGCTGTCCGTCTCATCTTGCCCGGAGAGCTCGCCAAGCATGCCGTCTCTGAGGGTACCAAGGCTGTCACCAAGTACACCTCATCCAAATAAATCTCCTAGAGATTTAGATGGAAACAAAACCCCCGACCCAACGGCCCTCTTTAGGGCCACAAATGAGTTTGAACTCAAAAGTATAAAAAGCAAATGAACAGAAAGATTCAAATTTCGAACTATATCTTTTAAGGAAAAATTTTAGATCAGATCAATATCTTTGTGTATGATTGTGTATCAATCTTTGTCTTTGTGTAACAATTTTTTTTGTTTGAAAGAATTCTTGGAACCAGTCCTATCCATCGCAATTCATCAAAGAAACTAATGTACAGTCAAACTTTACAATTTACCCTAACTTGCCCAGCTCACGCAAGCCCGGTCTACTCCAATCATCTTAGAGCACAGTTATTCAGTTGCCTCGACAATGAACAAGCTAACAAACGTTTCCGTTTTCTTGTAAAATTGATGGAAATCTCCAATCTATTAAATTTATCCTTTTCGGCATCCCAACCTCGCCCGAACTCTCATCGACTGATTCTCTCATTCTTCTCCAATCTCTTGGAACTTTGGCGCCAAAACGCCTGGAGTAATGCCAATGGTTTGGTTTTAAATCTCGGATCAATAAATTTGGGATCAACTCAGTTTATAATCGATAGTCAGATGCAGACAAGTGATACAAGTGTCCTTTCTAGAATAGGATAAGACTTGCTGCTAGTTTAGCACACTTTAGAATTGAAAAAGTACCCTGAAGGGGCAGAATGGGGCAGAATGAATGTTCATTGTCAGTCTTACCGGATGAATGTATTTATGCAATACTGA